TGAGGAAAGTAGTAGCACTGTAATGCAATGCAAGAGTGGGATTTATCTGAAAGTGTCCTATGAGAAAAACTATAAATTCTGTATTTCTTTGGACTATAACAGTATTATTTAGTGTAAAACATCATTTATTAGTAATGCCAGTGCGACATTAGTCGCTGATTTCTTTTTTACTTAGTATAATTCGATTTATATATATATGTAGGTATATTAATTCTTAGTTGTCTCTCTTCAGCTTTTGAGTGTTTTTTTGTAACAATTAACTTGATTCTAATATTTTATTCGTTTCGTACAACTTTAATTTTCACTTGAAGACATCGCCAATTAATAACACTGCTATATATAAGTACTTMGCTAAGTACCTACATAATATATATCACCATCCATAATCAATATATTAGTAAGTAATGTCTTGTTAAATAATTTCATAAATTGTATACAAATAATAGATAGGGAGGATACTAATATACTCAATAAATAAAGTAGAAATATTAAACTTATACTCATACTTTATTCATATATACACACACACACATATATATATATATTGGATAAATATTTGAGAAAATAATCGTTATGATATGACATACTCAACCATCTTAATTTCCTAAAATAAGATCACTTGAATCTACAATACACAGACATATTGATAACTGTGGAAAAGTGTATAAAGGGTATTTTCTTAACAGTTATTAAAAAATAAATATCATGAAAATTATAAACGGTTTTGAACATATTTTTTTGCATTATTCAAACCACCCAGTGGTCTGCAATACCTATAGGTAATAATTTATGATTTTTTATGTGTTCTTTTAAGCTATTTTTGAGGTACAATACTTAAGCTACAGATCCTTTATTAAAAAACAGTTAAGTGGGCAATGATCTGCTGTATAYTAAATGTTTAAACTGTTTAGAGAGTCACTATAATGTAAAAAATTTCAAATTTTAAATGTCTATAAATAACTCTAAACAAATCAAAATTTAAYCATGTAGGTATAGAGGTATAGAAAATGATAAAATAAATATTTGATARAAATACTTACGATTAATAGTTTTTGAATAACAACAAAATAAGAAAATCGCTGTGTGAATCTATACGGATAAACATCTAATGTCTAACTTCAAACGCGCATAATTTGACTCTCTTGTTTTTTGGTTTGTTAAATTTAGGAAACTTAAAAGGAATCTCGAATAAACATTTTTAATTTTAGATATACATTTAGATATAAATTCCAATAATTGAAGTTAAAAGTGTGGTGCAGATTACATATTCCATTTCGTTTTCTGCATTACCTGCCTCAAATTACCTCAGTTAATTCTTAGATGTAACGTAAAATACATGTTATATTTTTATATTTTGGTGCAAATTATATACGTACTTAAATTGTACCTATAAGTGGCGTCAATTAAAAATATTAAAATTTGCCCAAAATACCGTAACTGGAATATTGTACAACCTATTTATTTGTTTATAAATTTTAGAACCCATACAACAACCACACGGTAACCAACAGTGATTATCGTCCGATGAACACGATGTTTGACAACGCAGATCTGATTTTAGAGAACGCAAATTTGTTTGAAGGAGAACATGCCCAACACAACTTGTTGCTTCTAGTAAACCTGATAATCAAAGTAAATGAATTGATAAGTAGACAACATATTATAGACGAAAAATCTTCAATGGTACTTAAAACACTATTCRAAATCTTTTGCGATGCGTGGAAAGAGCAGACTTACAAATTCAGAAATGCCTTGTGGAACACGTTTATACATTGTGGGGGAATGATCTTGTTAATGAACAATAATTGCACTTCCGAATATGAAATCGTGCAGTTTTCGAGCGCTAGATTTCTAGAAAAATGCCTGACAACAGAAACCAGAGACCACGTACTGAAAATCGTGAAAGAAAAAGTTTTGCGCGTAGTAGGCGACAAAAACAAAACCCAAGTTAKCTCGCTCGATGGATTTAAGTTTAATTTCAGTAAGTTTTATTACATTTTAAACAGCCTAATATTTTTTGAACGGAAATTCAATGTTCAATGACAAACACAATATTATTGTAGTATRTATTTTTCAGGAATCTTTAAAAACTTATTCCAACAACCTAATATCACTTTCATTGATTTAAACGAATTCGATGGTTTGKGCGTACTTCTCGACGAGTTGCGACAGCAAGATTTCGCGTTTCTGAAACAATCCCTCAATGCACAATTCAACTTATGGAGGCCGTCATATAGATGCCCAAGAAACCAAAATGTTATGATAAGGCCACTGGAGAAGGAGATAATTTACTCTAACGACAGAGCTCACAGATTAGTTAATCATTCATGTTGGTTGATTACCGAAGAAGTTCCTTACAGGCTCAACATGTGTGTTCCCCAATGGTCGGCGATGGACGTCTGTAAATGGTTAAACCGAGTTGGATTTAGTGAGTTTTCTAACAATTTATTGAAAAATCAAGTTGATGGTGATCTATTGTTGCGATTAACCAAAGACGAATTGGTAAACGAAATCGGAATACAAAACGGAATAGTGGAAAAAAGGTTTGTAGTAAGATACCTTGCCCAAATGTATTGTGTATAACATAACATGCGCTTCGACTGTGTCTGGTGTAAGTTTGCAGAGTGTAAATGCAGGCCGATGACTGATTTTGATTGGACCACGCCCCATTTTCTCGTTGATCAGAGTATTATATTTCGATTTATTCCCTTTACATCATATTATTTCATAGACATTTTCGTATATTGATTAAGAGTTTATAGAATTCTTTCAAGTCTCTACCGTTCTTAAAACTTGTATTTACAGTATAACCTCGATTATCCGAACTATAATTAGCGTATTCGAACGTGAAAACTCGTATCCGGCAGTTCGGTCGACAGGTTTATCGAATTTATCATAACTCTCGCTTTTAGCTTATTATTAGGGGTGAGTCTCATTTCAACCAAAATCGTACACTTTCCTTTTCGACCAAATTTAAAACAGGTCGATTCCCTTTTCGACCAACAAAGATTTATATAATAAATTTTAAATAATAAAATAATGATATACAATTTTTGTCAATAATTATTATTAAATATAATATTAATATAAAAACAATGTTAATATATAGATATTTTTACATTTTAAATAATTTTCTATATTTAATTTTATAACATTTTATGCAACTTTTAATAATTTTAATTAAATCGATAAAGCAACAATGGAAATTTCGTTTGATAATTTCAAATAATGTAATGTATTTCTGATAATCTAATGTATGTAATTCTAATACAATATTAATTCTTATAATAAATATTTAATTATAAAAATAATTAATATTCAATACATAATTATAAAAAAATTTTGTTTTATATTTCCAATATCCTAACTTTTGCATATCCGAACTAGTCGCTGTCCCAATTAGTTCGTATAATCGAGGTTCTACTGTTTTATATTATTGCTCATTGAATCACCTCATTATTCACAGTAATACGTACATAATACGAGATGAAATAAAGCTCGTAGTGRTTGATAGTTAATAGCTTAACACTGCCTATAAAGTTATTCTTTTAAGCACTTTTTTCTAAAGTATTAAGTARGGAGTGAATTCGATTTTTGTTTTATTATTTCTCGTTTCACTGCTATTATCTATGTCTAATTAAAAAAAAAAAATATGACTTTTTTTAAGACCGAACACCTATATTAGATATCTCTTCTATTTTTGGTACTTTTAGGAAGACGCTCACATGGTTTATACCTATGTTTTAAAATTAATTTATTTGTAAGAAACTAACAATTAAATCAAGAAAA